TCAGTCGCAACCGGTTCATGCTCTACGTATTGCTGGTTATCAAGTGCGATGTGTTGGTCGCCTTGGGCAGAATTGGGGACCCAGGATACTGCAGATGGCTGGATGCCCTCGTCAGCGGCTAAATCATTTAGTAGGAACGGGATTAGCAGTGTTGAACAGTCCAACTCCAACGTATTTTTCATGCCGTCTTGGCGACGAGTTCTCAGTGCATAATCATGGACTAGTGGAAACATTTCTCGCTTCTTGCCAAGAAGCTGACGTGTTTCAGACTACCAAGAAGTTCTTGGTAGTCTGAAACACGTCAGTTTCGGAGGCCTCGGTGCGTGCTCTGCGTAGCCTTCTCAAGAGACACTTCTAACGATTTCACACAGCTGGGTTCCTCAGGTCAACATGGCCAAGATTCTTGAAGAGGAGTGGCTGGAGAAAGAGTCTATGCTGTCGTTGGCCGTGACAACATAATGTTGGAATATGAGATAGATACATGTGTTGCGGATGAGTGTACGGTCACTGAACTCTTCGGTGTAAGACTTATCCTAACAGCTTCACGATGGAATGAGTGCTCTGAGTGCTTATCATGCACTGCTTGAATGAATTCCATCATTTCAGTCACATTGAACTTTATTTGTTCGACCATCCTCAGTGATCGAGTCACTGTTATTAAACCTCTTTCTCGCCGCCCGGGAACCATCTGAGCTGATCAGCAACGACGACTTGATGATGTTTTGATATGTGGACATCGTCTTCTCATCCTGGCACCAACTTCCCCCAGTCTTGTATATTTTTCGATAGTTCGATCCATGATTAGTGGTGGCACTCTGCGATTGACATAATGAAGAGTTCCCCCAAGTGCACAAATACTCGATTAAACTATGTTAAGTTGGGACTCCCAACTCGGGAAAGTATGAATGTTAACTGGGGGACATGAATGACTCTTCTTGACCTCCTGTCAAGAATTCGCCTGAGACTGAGTATCTACTTCGACTGCAGAATAATGTCGTAGGACTTGCGCCATACCATATCTGAATCGCTTAACAGCAGATGGCGGATTTTCGATAGCGATATATATCATATGTCATTATGACATATGATTCATATGATATGAAACGGTTCATGCAAGGTGTTCATCCGAATATACAACGTTCGCGACCAGGGAGGGAGATCCTCCACTACGTATGCATATTCAACCGCGTCGGACGGGAAACTCTATCATACTTTATTTCTAACAACTCGGCACTTGTTTTTTATACGATGGCTACTCCCGTGATACCCGAGCAGATCTCTAATTGTATAAGTGCTGTCTCTGGCAGTACGGCAGGTGGCCTGTCAATGTTGGCTACCTATCCCTTGGATCAAGTCAAAACAATTTTACAGGTATTCATCTCACCAAGGCGCTGTATATATTCGCTTTGTCTTGCAGGGAATCATCTAGGAACCGTTTTGAATTTTCCACATTCTCCAATCAGTTTCCCATGTAAATGTGATGACATTAGTAACATCATTTTCCCCGTTGTTATCAAACCCTGGGGGACATAGTCCCTGTTTTCTTGCTATAGGTTGATGCGAATTCACTACTGCCACTACCTCGTCCGCTGCGGCCCTTGGGGTCTACGATGGGCGGGTTGATCTACTTAGCGTCTTCTAATCCGAAGCGTCTCTTTGTTGGTAACATATTTGAAGTGTCACGTTTGATCGGAAATAATCACGCAGGTGCCTCTGCATCAACAGAAACAGTGATGCTTTCTAACTTCATTTACTACTACCTCCTCAAAGGAACTGAAACGAAGATAGCCACTCTCATGGAGGTGGGGGAAATTCGGAATTTTTCACGAAAGATAATTTTCTTCCCTGTGAGCGTGGTATCGCGGAAATTTGTTGAGTTTTTTCCGCAAAAAAATTTGTATAACACAACTTGTCAGCGAAAAAAATCAAAGTTTTCCACTAAATATGAGATTTACAGGCCCTTTGAATTATCAACGGTCATCGTGTTCAAATCCTCAGGGTCGCGGGTATAGTAATAACTCTATCACGTCAGCTCTAATTGCCAGTACCGGTGAGCTCAGTGTTACCTCCCTGCCTCACCAGGCTTGGTCTTTTCTCAGTAGCAGGGTCGCTCAATGTTATACTTACAGAGCCTCTTTGGAGGGCTAGTACTGTTGTGAAATTAAGGAGTGAGGGAAAGACTCAAAGTGTTCTAGTAGAAACAATGCACATTGTTAGAAAAGAAGTGAGAAGTTAGGGAAAGAACATATATTTCAACAGTGTTGGAATGTATGATGCGGTTCAATCAGTGTGGGGAAATATGCACATGTTCAACTACATATGTTTGCGACAGTATGAAAATTTTGGGAAATTTTTAGCGGTTTCTGTGCATTTCTACCGTAAATCAGGAAACTCC